CGCCATGGTACCCGCCCCCCCGAAACCGGGCCCCGGGGACCCCCATGTCCCCCCCCAGTCCCCCTGCAGCGGGGCCACGGGGACCCCCAAACCCTCTCTCCTTGGAGGACCCCCTTGTTCCTTTCTCATTTTTCCCCCCACCAGGTTGCCTCCATCCCCATCTTGGGGGACCCTCAGACCCCCAAATTCCCTCCATCCTCATCTCGGGGACCCCCAGCTTCTCCCATCCCCATCTCGGGGGACCCCCCAGAGCCCCCATCACCCTCTCTCCCCACCTCAGGTCCCCTAAGGACCTCCATTTCGGCCTTGGGGGAACTTGGGGACCTCCATGCCTACCTCAGCGGTCCTCCCACTGTCCCCATCTTGGGGTCACCCCCTGGGACCCCATTTCTCCTTTTGGAGGTCCCCCACAGCCTCGATGGGGGGGCCCCGCGTTGACACCCGGCTCCCCAGGGCATCGCGGGGACGGATGTGGCGAAGGAGGCGTCCGACATCATCCTGACGGACGACAACTTCTCGAGCATCGTCAAGGCGGTGATGTGGGGTCGCAACGTCTACGACAGCATCTCCAAGTTCCTCCAGTTCCAGCTCACCGTCAACGTGGTGGCCGTCATCGTGGCCTTCACTGGGGCCTGCATCACCCAGGTGAGGGGCAGGGACAGGCCCGAGGGCTGTGGGGTGGATGGAGGGAGAGAGAAATGAAGGAAGGGATGGGCTGGTAGGTGGACGGGTTGAGGGATGGATGGAAGGATGGATGGGTTGGTGGGTGGGTGGAGGGATAGAATGGTGGATGGAGAGGACGGCAAGGATGGAGAGAAGGATGGGTTGGATGGAGAGATGGATGGACAAATGGATGAAGGGATGGATGAGTTGAGCAGTGGGTAGTTGGATGGAGAGATGAACAGGTCGTGGGGTGGACAGAGATGGACGGATGGCTTGGCAGATGGAGAGATGGATGGTGTTGGCGGGTGGGAGGATGGATCGAAGGGTGGACAGGGAGACGGACGAGTGCATGGAGAGACAAATGGGTGGAATAGATGGAGGAATGGATGAGTAGATGGAGGGACAAACAGACAGGGTTTGTGGAGGGATGGAGAGACGGGTGGATGGGTTAGTGGCAGATGGATGGACATAGAGATGGATGGATGGGTGGCAAATGGGTCAGCAGATGGGAGGTGGCCGGCATCGGAGACGCGGAGGGCTGGAGCAGGAGGGCCTTGGGCCTCAGGGGGACAGAGCAGTGGACACTGTCCTTGTCCCCCGCACAGGACTCACCCCTGAAGGCCGTGCAGATGCTCTGGGTCAACCTCATCATGGACACCTTTGCCTCGCTGGCACTGGCCACCGAGCCGCCCACAGAGGCCCTGCTGCTGCGGAAACCCTATGGGCGCAACAAGCCCCTCATCTCCCGCACCATGATGAAGAACATCCTGGGCCACGCCGCCTACCAGCTCGTCATCATCTTCACCCTCCTCTTCGTCGGTACGTGGCCGCGGGCCGAGACTGCGACGTTGGGGGAGGACGCGCCCGTGCCGTGTGGTCTCCAAGCCAGGAAGGACCTGTGGGCCTTGTCCTGCTCGGGGAGGACATATCACTGTGGCCGTGTCCCCAAGGGGGTGCCACGTCCCGTGGCTGACGGGAGGCTGCGCGGGGCCTCCCCCGCCCCAGCTGACGTGGCCCCCTCCGAGCACTACACCATCATCTTCAACACCTTCGTCATGATGCAGCTCTTCAACGAGATCAACGCCCGCAAGATCCACGGCGAGAGGAACGTCTTTGACGGCATCTTCGCCAACCCCATCTTCTGCTCCATTGTCCTGGGCACCTTCGCCATCCAGGTGGGCCGCGGCAGGCTCTGGGGGACCAGGGGGACCTGTGGGGACGCCCAGACACGTGGGGGGGGACCCGTGAGGACATCCAGACATGTGGGACACCCGTGGGGACCTCGTTGTCTTCTCGGTCGTCCTGGCCACTTTTGCCATCCAGGTGGGCTGAGGGGAGGTCAGGGGGACCCACAGGGACCCCCAGACACAGAGGGGATCCACAGAGACCACAGCTCTCCATGGAGACCCCGTTGTCTCCTCCATCATCCTGGGCGCCTTCATCATCCAGGTGGGCCATGGGGAGGTCTGGGGGACCCATAGGGACCCACAGGGACCCTCAGACACAGAGGGGATCCACAGGGACCTCCAGGGACCCCAGACACAGAGGGGACCCACGCAGACCACAGCTCTCCATGAAGACCCCGTTGTCTTCTCCATCATCCTGGGCGCCAAGTGGGCCGTGGGGAGAACTGGGTGGGGAGGCTGGGGGGACCCATGGATGACCCTGACGTGGAGGGGTCCCATAGGAGCTCCATGGGGGCACCCAGACATGGAGGGGACCCATGGGGACCCCGTCTTCTTCTCCATCATCCTGGGCACCTTTGCCATCCAGGTGGGCCACAGGGACCCATGGGGACCCCCCAGGCGCGGAGGTGACCCATGGGGACACCGGACACAGCAGGGGGACCCACAGGGACCCCATGGGGACATCCAGACACCGAGGGGCCCCACGGGGACCCCCGACAACCCCATCTTCTGCTCCGTCGTCCTGGGCGCCTTCGCCATCCAGGTGGGCCATGGGGGGCCATGGGGACCCTTGCCGTCTTCTGGCACCCTATAGGGACCCCCATCACCCATAGGGACCCCTGTCTCCTCCCCATAGGGGCCCCCAGCTGCCTATGGGGACCTCACGGGGACTGTGGCACCCTACAGGATCCTCCAGCTCCCCATGGGGCCTCTATGGGGACCCTGTGGGGACCCCCAGGGACCTGCAGCTCCCCATGGGGGACCCTATGGGGATGCCCAGGTCCCCATATATTGCCCCACAGAGACCCTATGGGGACCCCCAGGAGCCAGGGGGACCCCCAGCTCCCCATGTATTGCCCACAAGGGCCCTATGGGACCCCTTCCAGCATCCGTAGGGACCCCGAGCTCCCCACGTATTGCCCCACAGGGACCCTATGGGAACCCCTAGCACCCATGGAGACCCTCAGCTCCCCACATATCACCCCACAAGGACCCTACAGGACCCTTCAAAACCCACAGGGGGTCCCACAGCAGCCACGGGGACCCCCAGGTCCCCATGTATTGCCCCATAGGGATTCTACAGGGGACCCTCAGGACCCATGGGGACCCTATGGGACCTTCCAGCACCCATGGGGACCCCCAGCTCCCCACAGGGACCCCCATGGACCCCCCCAGCAGCCCCCATGTATTGCCCCATAGGGATTCTACAGGGGACCCTCAGGACCCATGGGGACCCTATGGGACCTTCCAGCACCCATGGGGACCCCCAGCTCCCCACAGGGACCCCCATGGAGCCCCCCAGCATCCACAGGGACCCCCATCTCCCCACCTTTCCCCCCCAAGGACCCTAGAGGACCCGCAGCTCCCCATAGGGACCCCCCAGGGAGCACCAGTGGGGGGGCCGGGACCCCTCTGACCCCTCCATGTCCTCCCCAGATCGTCATCGTGCAGTTTGGGGGAAAGCCCTTCAGCTGCTCCCCCCTCAGCGCCGAGCAGTGGCTGTGGTGCCTCTTCGTGGGGGTTGGCGAGCTCGTTTGGGGGCAGGTGTGTACTGGGGGCCCCACATCCGAGCACCCCAAAACCTCCCCGTACTGGGGACCCAGGTGTCCGAGCACCCCAAAACCCCCTGTATTGGGGACCCAGGCATCTAGGCACCCCAAAACCCCCCATACCAGGGACCCAGATGTCCGAGCACCCCAAAACCCCCCCGTACTGGGGACCC